ATATATATATATATATATATATATATATATATATATATATTCATTCATTCAAAAAATTTCAATGTAATCGATCCTGATCTGCTATCTCAATATCAGTCACTTTCTCACCGTCGTCTTTTCTAGAAATATTTTCGGGGCAATTATTCTGATGAGTTGTTCTGCTTAGTGCCATGACTGTATGAATTTAAGCATGCTACACGATCTCACCGATTTACTGCTTCACTAGAACAGGATGGCCACACTTGCTTAATTTAAGGGCCACATAAGATAAAATTCAGATGTTTGACAGCCGCAAAAGAGGAGCAAAATTTACACACGCGTTTGTTCTATATACACATTTATGTGTATATAGAACAAACGCGTGTGTTTTATTATATTTATATAAAAAATCTTTATATAAATATTAAGAAACTCATTTCTACAATAATATTTATTCTTGTATCCCGTTTTTTTTTAAACAGTTAATTTGTATTAGTTGCCATATAACAAAATCATTATACTTTTTACGATAATAAATATATAGTTTCAGTAAGACAAGGTAACTTCTCATTGGCAGATATTTTAGTTTTTAAATTTAAAGGAGACGATTTAGAATTTTCTCGAAAACTTCGTCGTTCCTCACATGTTCGGTCCATGGTATCCTCAGCATCCTTCTGTAGAAATGTCAACTGCCTCTTCCTGAAGTTAGGTATAAGTTTGATTTTCGGTTCAATTCTCTCTAAAACCTTGTTATTGCTCACAGGCTCGGTCCATGGTATCCTCAGAATCTTTCTGTAGTAATTTCAACTGTCTCTTACCGATGTTAAATATAAGTTTCCTTTTTTTTCCATTTTCTCAAATATGCTAGTCCACAAAAATCTCCTGAGCCGACCTAGCATAGAAATGAATACAATATGGGAACCAGTAATAAGGAGTGCCAGAGAAAAGCGATAATAACAACAAAAAATTGCAAACATGTTAAAAAACATGAAATGATAAGGGCAAAAATTGCAATATGAGCACTGGTAAAAATTAATTGCTGAAGACATTAGGTTTGTAACACCAAGAAATTTATACAACGATGACCTCAAGTCCGCATGGCACAGTAGATAAAGTCGTTAGTTAGATTCAGTGACAGGGCCCAAAGGGTGTGAGTTCAATACGTGGTTAAGGCGGTGGTGAACTTTGAGATAACTGATAACTGACATCCATCAAACATGGCACGTGGAACTAGAACAGTCTACCCCAGTGAGCGAAATAAAGGGTTCAGTTCGACATTCCAACCACCTGAAGAAGGCCGGAGCATACAACGACCGAAAGGTTGTGATAAAATATGACGACAAAAATGATGACAATAGTCCGAATAATGTAAATAATTTACCTGCAAAGAAACCTATATAGATATATATTTTTGACAGCTAATTTCATGTATTGTATATTGTCATGGGTTCTTACCTGTAGCTACAGAATGAACTCTTTCTAACACTATGTATACTACGCCTCCCAAGAGAGAGGGACGAATCAAACCGAGCCTCTCGGCTTGACAGTCGAACTCTCTGCCTCTGAGCAGAGAGGAACCCGGACGAGGCTCCGCCGAAGGGCAGAGTCTCGTTCGGGTAGGTTGACCAACCCGATCCCGTTTATACGGATTCTACGGGCATTTTTTGGCCGAGCCTACAGGCTCGGGAAACCCACGTTAAACTCGGCATTGTGCCACATGCAACCCTCGTGGTGGGGGTGGTTAGATACCGAATCAAGCCGAGCTTCTCGGTTTGACGGTCGAACTCTCTGCCTCTGAGCAGAGAGGAACCCGGACGAGGCTCCGCCGAACGGCAGTCTCGTTCGTGGAGAATGACCAACCCGATCCCGTGTATACGGGTTCTACGGGCATTTTTTGGCCGAGCCTACAGGCTTGGGAAACCCACGTTAAATTCGGCCTTGTGCCATATGCAACCCTCGTGGGGGGTGGCTAGATACAAAATCAAGCCGAGCTTCACGGCTTGGTGGTCGAACTCTCTGCCTCTGAGCAGAGAGGAACCCGGACCAGGCTCCGCCGAAGGGCAGAGTCTCGTTCAGGGAGGTTGACCAACCCGATCCCGTTTATACGGGTTCTACGGGCATTTTTTGGCCGAGCCTACGGGCTCGAAAAACCCACGTTAAACTCGGCCTTGTGCCACATGCAACCCTCGTTCTAGATACCGAATCGTGTCGAGCCGATAGTAGTTCACTCCAAACCAGACTGACAGTCATACTAACACCTTCCACATCTTGTATTATTATTTCGTGTAATATACCTTCGTTATTTCTACTCTTGTGTTCGTGTTGTTCTTCCTTGGTCCTAACCTGGACCATAACGTATATACTTTCTTATCATCATTTTAAGGGTGTCGACTCATAAACGAGAAATAAAATTAGCGCTGCCCCTAGCTATGCTGTTAATCAAACTATATATCAATTTGCATAGTCAAAAAATAAGCGTGATTTTGATAAAATTGATGCTTTGCTTAACTGTATCTAATAATCAGGCATGAAATATTTCCATATTTGTATCGTATTATAAAATATAAACGTAGCGTATATGGCACTTTTCCATTGTTTGCGTTTATAAGATGTTTAGCTGTTTTCTTTCAGATGTTTATGGCTGCAAGCATTCACGCAACGAGAATAACGTTACTAACGATACTTTTATCAGTCTATTTTACTTTTTTAACATATTTAACTCCAACATGGGATGGAAGGAAAAGAGGTTAGTCGATTGTAATTTGATCTCCAAAAAAGGTACGCGCAAGTTACACGCGATATATAATAAAATCATTTTTTATAAGTGAAAATTTGAAGGTCACACGATAAAGCGAGATCGTGCGTTACGTGGGTATATATATATATATATATATATATATATATATATATATAGAGAGAGAGAGAGAGAGAGAGAGAGATGATGAAATATAGTCTTAAGATGTGCTATATTTATGGGATAGAATGCTCACTATCAGAGAGAGAGAGTGTGTGTAAATATAAAAGTGAACATAGGAGTCAACATTTTTTCTTTTTTTTTTTTTAAGCATTTCACCCCAAGCAAGGCGAGAAGCCACTAGGACGCAAGGGGTTACAGAAAATTTAGAGCAAGATCAGATAGGAGTGATAGAAGAAAGGATGAGGAGAAGGGTAGTGGATAGATCAAGGCAACTGGAGATGTCGATTGACATTACACTTGAATAGCTGGAGATTGTAGCTCACAGGGAAACAGGAGATGGGAAGGAAGTTCCACAGGCGAGAGGTGCGAGACATGAAGCTATTAGAGTAAAAGAGACGGCTACATTTAGGAGTTTCGACAGTGAAGGGGTGAGAGCGGGATGCCAGCCTCGTAGGGCGCTGGAAATATTTAACTTAGAGGCGACAGTCTGTTTCACGCTAGGTGCAATCGTCAGGCCTCATTCCACATATAAAAAAATGATAAATTCCAGATGACCACAACATTTTTTGTCCTTCACAACCATGAACACTAAATTCTTACTCTATAATTAACAACACCCTGATGATGACATTATGCTATGCCGAAAGTACTCAGAATAAATACAGTATGAGCCAACACGGTGTTTTCTTCTCGTCTTTTGATGACCACACAAAAAAGCTTATCCGCGAATATGAACGTATCACATCGACAATAAGTAGAAAGGACATGTTTAAATTATTTAACGAAACATGTTGCGAAAATATGCTGCCGAAATATACGCATATATATTAGGTTGGTGCAAAAATAATGACGTAATAATGTCGTTTTTACGTATTTTTTAACGTCAAAAACCGACATTATTACGTCATTATATTTGCACCAACGTAATATATATATATATATATATATATATATATATATATATATATATATAGAGAGAGAGAGAGAGAGAGAGATAGATAGAGAGATAGAGAGATAGATAGTGCTTATATATATATATATATATATAGATAGATAGTTCATGATATATAGATAGATAGATCAATGAGCATATACATATATATATATATATATATATGTATATGTATGTATGTATAGATAGATTGATAGATAATGAGCATATACACACATATATACAGATATGTATAGATATATCGATAGATAGATAGATAGATGACAGATGCAGATAGATAAATAGATAATAGTCAGATTCAGAAAGATTATGAACAGATTTAATTAGGTAGGTAGGTAGGTAGGTAGGTAGATAAATAGATAGATAGGTAGTTGAATAGACTCAGATAGATAGATAGATAGATAGATAGATAAACAGACTCTGAAATATATATATATATATATATATATATATAGAGAGAGAGAGAGAGAGAGAGAGATAAATATATCTGTGTGTGTCTCTGTACCAATCTTACATAATTACAAATATAAATGATCCCCAACTGTATATGAATTACACTTGAGGCCCGGAATGAATTTGTATCCGAAGAGACGCACGATGCGTCATTTTTGTCAAAAAATCAAAATACGTAATACTATTATATCTACTACTACTCCTATTCGCACAAGAAAACGAAGAAAAAAAAAAGAAGTATAGTAAAAACAATATCATTAAGGTAAATCTTAGTAATAAGTTAACTTTTTTTAACACGTGCGCACTTGTGTAGGTCTTTTCTTTCAGATTCTGATCGCTTTCATAACTTTCTTAGTTCAACAGATCAGTGCAGTTTTACATTACTCACCCTGGTCAGAGGCCGTGTTGGGTATTCAAGACGCTGCTTCCTTTGCACCAGCACTGAGGGATTCGCAATTGATAATCTTTAGTCCGACAAAAAGAGTCACAACCGATTGCTTCAAGGCGACATGCCAACTCGTTCACCACGATGAATAGCAAGCTCATTTTTGACTCTGTCCACGAAATTTAGCCAGAATTTTCGAAACTTTATTAAAGAAATACGCGCGGTGGAATTTGAAAGGAACAGGAAAAATACTCCTCGCCACAAACCATCGTAATCTTTTTCGTGATTATCAAATTCTTCATATAACGAAGAGGATGACCTTCACGGAGAACCGCAGGAACTCGCTATTTTTGGTAAAATTACACAATGGCGTTTATTTCTTCATTGAAGAAACTTACTTGGCTCAAACATTAAAACAGCTAATCTATCTATGTTTCTTATCTATCTATCTATCTATCTATGTTTCTTATTTATCTATCTATCTATCTATCTATCTATCTATAAAATATAAATATAAGATATCTATTTCAATATTACCATTATCTATCTCTATCAATTTATCTATATCAGTTTTTCATGATCTATCTTTATCAGTCTTTGCATTATCTATCTATCTATCTATCTATTAAAGACATTTTTATGTTTAACATTCTTTTTATAGATACAAGTATTTAAGTAAATGCTCTGTTTATAATAAACAGTATTAAATAACATTTACCGGCCTGAATGTCCGAGAAATTTTCATAGAAAATATTCGTCCTTTGACAGGATTCGAACCTGCATCCTATACGGAACCGTCATTTAGCTTGACGTGCCTAACCTCTCGGCCACAAAGGATCGTTCGGTTGGCAAGGTTGAATTTACTGCTTATAAACTTCAATTTTCCATGAATCTCGTACATTCATAACTGCTCATGGCGTATCAAATGTAAACAAATGACGTCATACATTAAGAAATGGACAAAGTCCGACAATTTATTAAAGACATTTTTATGTTTAACGTTTTCATATCTGAGCTGGTTCATCTATCTATCTATCTTTCTATCTATCTGTTATGGTCCGATTCCTTGTAACACGGTGATAGTCCAAGGTAGAACCAATAAAGATGAACTCGAACACAGGTATGGAATAACACAGATATATTACAAACAGGAATATTTACAGAGAAGTAGAAGTGTTAGTATGAACAATCAGGTTTAGTAGGGAGAACAATGTAGTCTCGACCAGTATCACTATTCCAATGTCTTGCTGTAATTGTCTGAACGCGACTCTGTTTCGGACTGCCTCTGACTCGACTCTTAACTCGACTTGAACTACTGACTGACTCCTTATTATTATTATGGGTAGGATCCCATAACACTATCTATCTATCTATCTATCTCATATCCATTTAGCTATCATTATGTTCATATCTATCTATCTATCTCATATCCATTTAGCTATCATTATGTTTATATCTATCTATCTATCTATCTATCTATCTATCTATCTATCTATCTCATATCCATTTAGCTATCATTATGTCCATATCTATCTATCTATCTATCTATCTATCTATCTATCTATCTCATAACCATTTAGCTATCATTATGTTCATATCTATCTATCTATCTATCTCATATCCATTTAGCTATCATTATGTTCATACCTATCTATCTATCTTTCTATCTCATATCCATTTAGCTATCATTATGTTCATATCTATCTATCTATCTATCTCATATCCATTTAGCTATCATTATGTCCATATCTATCTATCTATCTATCTATCTATCTCATATCCATTTAGCTATCATTATCTATCTATCTATCTATCTATCTCATAACCATTTAGCTATCATTATGTTCATATCTATCTATCTATCTATCTATCTATCTCATATCCATTTAGCTATCATTATGTTCATATCTATCTATCTATCTATCTCATATCCATTTAGCTATCATTATGTTCATATCTATCTATCTATCTCATATCCATTTAGCTATCTATCTATCTCATATCCATTTAGCTATCATTATGTCCATATCTATCTATCTATCTATCTATCTATCTATCTATCTCATAACCATTTAGCTATCATTATGTTCATATCTATCTATCTATCTATCTATCTATCTATCTATCTATCTCATATCCATTTAGCTATCATTATGTTTATATCTATCTATGTATCTCATATCCATTTAGCTATCATTATGTTTATATCTATCGATCTATCTATCTATCTATCTATCTCATATCCATTTAGCTATCATTATGTCCATATCTATCTATCTATCTATCTATCTATCTATCTATCTATCTATCTCATATCCATTTAGCTATCATTATGTTCATATCTATCTATGTATCTCATATCCATTTAGCTATCATTATGTTTATATCTATCGATCTATCGATCTATCTATCTATCTATCTCATATCCATTTAGCTATCATTATGTTCATACCTATCTATCTATCTTTCTATCTCATATCCATTTAGCTATCATTATGTTCATATCTATCTATCTATCTATCTATCGTAGTTAATATCTATCTATTTATCTATGAAAGATATGCGACTATATATATCAAATAAAAGGTGGGTAAATGGCTGAGAAAACGAAAAAAAAAAAGCGTAGTTTCGTCCATCGAAAGAACTTCTTCAGAATAGTAATGGTTTTATCAAATGTTTCTTATACATATAGAGAGTAGGATATACTGCAAACGCCGTTTATATCGCAAAGCGTTGAAGATACAGCGGCTTTGAGCTTAAAATCTTTCTCGCTGTAGAATTGTTCAGAGAATTATTTGTATCTTATCTTTGTCTCTGCATATATAAGATTCTACGAATAAAACATTATTAGTCAGAATAATTTTTTCGTTTTGTCATTCAATTACACACACACACACACTCTCTCTTTCTCTGTTTCTGTTATGGTCCAGGTTAGGACCAAGGAAGAACAACACGAACACAAGAGTAGAAATAACGAAGGTATATTACACAAAATAATAATACAAGATGTGGAAGGTGTCAGTATGACTGTCAGTCTGGTTTGGAGTGAACTACTATCGGCTCGACTCGATGCAGTATCTAGCCACTCCCCCACGAGGGTTGCATGTGGCGCAAGGCCGAATTTTACGTGGGTTTCCCGAGACCGTAGGCTCGGCCAAAAAATGCCAGTAGAACCCGTATGAACGGGATCGGGTTGGTCAACCTCTCCGAACGAGACTCTGCCCTTCAGCGGAGCCTCGTCCGGGTTCCTCTCTGCTCAGAGGCAGAGATTTCAACCGTCAAGCCGAGAAGCTCGACTCGATTCGGTATCTAGAGGGGTTGCATATGACATAAGGCCGAGTTTAACGTTGGTTTCCCGAGCCCGTAGGCTCGACCCAAAAAATACCCGTAAAACTGTAAAAACAGAATCGGGTTGGTCATCCTCCCCGAACGAGACTCTGCCCTTCGGCGGAGCCTCGTCTGGCCCTCTCTGCTCAGAGGCAGAGAGTTCGACCGTCAAGCCGAGGAGCTCGGCTTGATTCGACTCTTCCTAAAACTACGCCTCTCAAGAGATTGAGAGGCGTAGTTTTAGGAAGAGTTCATTCTGTACTTATAGGTAAGGACCCATGACAGTTTCATTCTCGATCTATCCATCTTTCTACCAAATCTGCTTCCTTACATATAAATCCAAGAATTTAAACTTCTGATACCCTAATTAGAATACTGACTGGACGTACATTCTTTCTCTTCGCCATATTTGCCAGGAAAAAGAAAAGAATAGCGAGAAGGAAAATTGAGTATTGGGGAAATAATGAAAGAAATTTAAATCCAAATTTCATAGAGAAGCATAAAATGAATTCAGATGCACAGAAAGAAACATGTTATGTCTAATTTAGACAAAGATAATCAAACGGAGACATATTCCTAGTGGTGCAGAGAAAATAATTGGCAGAATTCAAAAGGTTTAAGAAATTATTCTGTCTGCTTTTAGTCATAGATAACTAGATAGATAGATAGGTAGATAGATAATATATATATATATATATATATATATATATATATATATATATATATATATATATATATGTGTGTGTGTGTGTGTAACAGAGGGGGATAGATAGATAGATAGATAATGATCTCATATATATACACATACATATATATATTAAGAAATGGACATGGTCCGACAATTATAAAATTATATAAAATATATATTATATAAAATAATTATATAATTATATATACAATTATATAAAATAACAACGTTAAACATAAAAAATGTCTTTAATAAATACACACACACATATATATATATATATATATATATAGATAGATAGATTTAGATTGACAAATACATAATAATCAGATTTAGATAGATTATCAACATATTTAGATAGATAGATAGATAGATAGACAGACTGAGATAGATAGATGTACCGACTGTAACAGATAAATGAACAGACTTTGATAGATAGATAGATAGATAGATAATGAACATTTATATAGCTAGCAAGCCAGATAGATAATAAGCATATATATATATATATATATAGAGAGAGAGAGAGAGAGAGAAAGAAAGAGAGAGAGAGAGTGAGATAGACAGATAGACTGTAATAGATAATTGAACAGGCTGTGATAGACAGATAGATAGATAAATGGTCCCAAGATATAAAGCCTAGATATATGAAGAAATTAATGAATGAATAAAGAAGACGTTGTTTATTCATATGCGTCATATTATCAGACAGCTAAAAGAAATATAATTTAAAACAGCGAGTAAAAAGAGACAAAAAGAAAGAAGAAAGGATTAGAAATGAATGCCAAACACCCTGGAACCGCTCGTAAAAATGTCGAGGAAAAGGGCGGAATATTCAGAAATCAAGAAAAACAAATTGCAGTTTATAGATAGGATAAAAATTTGAAAAGAATTTCAAATTTTATTCAACTGAGTTGAGCCAGCATTGTCGTGATGTTCTTTTGTTGATCTTTTGTTGGGGGAAAAGCTTATTTGATTATTAGCAAGGATGAAGCTGTCAGCAAACACCAGGAAAGTGAATGGCTCCCATTTTGAATGTCTATGAAGTAGAAAGAAATTGACTTTTTCTTTTTGTCTGAAGCATTCCCTTTTTGTTCCTTCCCCACTTGTTTCATCTTTTTGTTTCTGTCACGTCACTGGAATAAATTTTAAAGAATTTATCCTATTTAACTAAATTGTCTGGTGGTATATTAATGTTGCTATTATTAATCGAGCGCCATGTGTGATGTTATGATAAATAGTAATAATATTAAGTTAAAAGGATTGAGGATATCAATTTTAGTCAATAATGATTTGAATAATGTCATATACGGATGGTCTCATAAATTTATCGACGCTTTTCATGTGCGAAATCCAAGTAATATATTATGAATGCTTCAACCTTATTTCCAAATACGAGCTTATACACATGGTCCAGTGGACACATGGCCCAGCGGATAAAATCTCTTCGGGTTACAGTGGATAAAAGCATTGGTTGAAGTAATCCAGTGACTCGACTTGTGAGTTCAATACCTGGCCACATCAGAGGTGAACAAAAACATAAAGATTTGAGATTCTGAAGAGAAATAGGCTTTCCTACCGCCGCGTCAACACTCCTCCCCTTTCTCTTGGACATGAGTAGAGGCTTACGTCTTGTTTCTTGTTTAGGAAGGGGTTTCCGGTACTCTCTCTATCTCTCTCTCTCTCTCTCACTGGCCTCTGTATCTCCAGTTGCCTTGATCTATCCACTACTCTTCTCATCCTTTCTTCTATCACTCCTATCTGATCTTGCTCCAAATTTTCTGTAACCCCTTGCGTCCTAGTGGCTTTCCGCCTTGCTTGGGGTAAAACGCTTAAAAAAAAATAACAGAAAATGAGATATCCAGAATCGTTATGGAACGTGGAACAAGAACAATCTACTCCCGTGGACTAAATAAAGGGTTCTGTTCGAAATTCCAATGTGTGGTGATATACAAGAAGAAGGCATGCGCTTACAACGGTCGAAACGTCATGTCAATGACAATGAAGAGGACAAGAAGACTCCGAACTATGTAAATAATGTAAATAGTTAAGAAACCATTCTTATGATGTCGGCTGAAAAGTTCATGACTTGATTTATGGAATGGGACCAAATGGGGGGGTTATTTTTGTTGTGGTGTGCTCCCTGTAATGAAGCTATTGTGGACTCTTCCACTTACTATAAGGTTAGTAGGAAAGTAAGCCTCGGGGGAACAGTTCTCCAAACCGTTCATGACTAACTCTCTGCCTCTGCGGAGAGGAACCCGACCGAAGGGCAAATTTTCGTCCGGGGAGTTAGACAGGCTCTGAACCCATTTATACGGGTTCAAAGGGAATATTTTTGGCCGAGACTACGGGCTCGTAGAACACAAACTAAACCGGCCTTGTGCCATATACGACCCACGTGGGGTATAACGGTGCCATAGCCCGTTCGGCTGTCAAACTCTCCTCCTCGGCGGAGAGGAATCCGGACGAAACTTTGCCCTTCGGCAAAGCTTCGTCCGGGGAGGTAGACAGGTCCTGAACCCGTTTATACGGGTACGAAGGGGATATTTTTGGCCGAGCCTACGGGCTCGGAGAATCCACTATAAACCGGCCTTGTGCCTCATACGACCCACGTGGGGGGTGGGGGGCGTCAAATATAACAGTGCTATAACCTGTTCACTACTCTCAAACTCTCTGCCTTGAGCAGAGAGGAACCCGGACGAGGCTTTGCCGAAGGGAAAAGTTTCGTACGGGGAGGTAAACAGGACCTGAACCCGTTTATGCGGCTTCTAAGGGAATATTTTTGGCCGAGCCCACGGGTTCGGTGAACCCACGCTTAACTCGGCTCTGTGCTAAATAAGCTCCCTCATTGGGGGGGCTGTTAAATATAACAGTGATATAGACTGTTCGCAGCTCCTGTCGAACTCTCTGCCTTGTGAAGATAGGAACCCGGATGAGGCTGTGCCTAAGGGAAGATCTCGTCCGGGGAGATAGACAGACCCGAACCCGTTTATGCAGATTCTACGGGGATATTTTGGCCGAGCCTACGGGCTCGGATGACACACGTTAAACTCGGCCTTGTGACATATATACCCTCATGGGGGGGGGGCTACTAATTATCAACAGTGATATAGACTGAACGCTGGTCAACCGACACACATTCCCAAGTCGTGTAATACACTTCTGTTGCATTTACTGTTCAATACACTATTTATGTGCAACCTCTTGTTTTGTTATTCCTAAACCAATTGCTTGCTCAAAACAATTTTTTGATTGTGACGGGTCTACACCTGGCCCAGGGTCGAATCCTTTGGTTACGGCGCCAAC